TGGATGAGTAAATCCATTTTCTAAATTTTTCTTTTTTAATATAAAAGATGTTTACATCCAAGGCTTCGTGGATTTCAATTTTGGCCACCGATAAATTTATTTTCCAACGAGCTTCGATTCCTCTTTCATTCTCTGTTTATTCTTTCTTCTTATTCTTTCTCTTCTTGAATTGTTCTCTATTTTTTGGACAACGAATTGTTGAGATTTGGATGGGTAAATTCATTTTCTAAATTTTTCTTTTTTTAATATAAAAGATGTCTATATCCAGGGCTTCGTGAATTTCAATTTTGACCACCGATAAATTTATTTTCCAATGAGCTTCGATTTTTCTTCCATTCTCTGTTCATTCTCTTTTCTCATTCATTTTCTTAAATTGTTTTCTTTTGGATTTTTTGGACGATACTATTAAGAAACCAATTGAAAATGAGATGGGCAAATCTAATTTCTTTTTCTAAATTTTTCTTTTCTATTATATCTTTACTATCAAGAACGAAGTATCATGAAAGATATCTGGATCCAAGGTTTCCTGTCTTAACTTTAATCTAAGAGTTGATTTCCAATCAACGGACTTCTTCTTCCCATTTCTGCTCTCATTATTCTTCTCTCTTCTCATTCCTTTCCTTAAATTGTTCTATTTTTTGGAGTTAAGCAACGAATCGTTGAGATTTGGACAGACAAATCCAATTTCTTCTTTCACTAGCAAAAACGAAATGTCGTTCACGAAAGATATCCATATTTTAAATCTAATCTAAGACTTGATTTCCAACCAACATGTTCTTCCCATTCTCATCCTTTTTCTTATTTATATTTTATTTATATTATTTATATATATTTTTCTCTCTTGAATTTTTCTGATCGATTGAATCTTAGATGGTGAAAATTTATTAATTTATTAATTTTATCCTCTTCAATTCGTCGCCAAAGACGAGATTATCGAACGATGAATCATCATACTTTATTCAACACTTGAAAACTCTTCCTCTCCTCCTCCCCAAAAAAAAAACGATTCTCTGAAATAGAATTTCCTAGCACGAGCAGATCCAGCGCGTTAAAAAATACACGGGGAAACATGACATTACCGTTTAATAAAACGAATCCCGATGATTATCTGTGAAGCGTATCTGACAGAGGGGGTGGGGGGAAGAGGGGTGACAGACAATTTTCCGCGAAGAGAGAAGGCTGTTATTAAACGCGAGGACAGGGCGGATCGATCGCGGGAAATTCAATTGCAAAGTCATACATACTGCACGCGAAAATCCTCGTGAACGATCCCATTAATATTGCAGAGGCGGCAGACTATTGCCAATGACACACGATGCGAGTTTGCCCCACGGTATAATTGTCCCGTCGTTGGTAGTTATGAAAGTTGGCTCCCGTTGTTGAATGACTTGTTGCAAACGGTTGCAGACGCGACCAATTCACCAATTCAATTCCCCAATTTTTCCCTTTCCGTCCGATTTTAACCATTGACGAGGAACGAGCCGAAATTCATCTTCGGAGGAGATTGAATTTCTGAAGCGAATCGGTGTATGATTGTAATTAAAATTCTTTTTACATATATATATTCGTATATATAAATTAGTAAAATTTATTTTCGAAAGTAAAATTTATTTATTATAAAATTAGTAAAATTGTTATCAAAATGACTCGCAACTTACTTAAATTTAATATTAATTTAATCAGATATGGGTGCGTTATTTCTCAACTTTCGTCGGATTGAAAAATAAATTACCAAGAATGTTCGAAGCGTTTCTTCGATTTAACCCTTTAGTTGGCAAAATTTTCTTGTTACAATAATTTTAATTTAAATCCTCTTAATTGTCCCTCCCCAACTTCTATTCTCCAAAGTCATTCATCGAGAACATTCAATCGGTTTAGATCAAAAAACAGTCCCACAACTTACCGAATAAAATAATAATCACGGTGAAAATCCGAAATCGGACGCGATCTTGGATCGATGCATACTCGATAG